GCCTCTGAGCCACTTGCCAACCCACCTCCTATAGCCTGATCTAGACCAGTACCCTCCAACTTGGTTGAGAAAAGTTCATGGGAAACAGTATCAGAGGATATGCTGAAGTCTAGGTAGATAATGTCAACCTCCTGTCCCATGTCCACCTGCTCATAAAATGTTTGTTAGGCATGACCTCCCCTCAACAAAGCCATGCGTGTTGTTTCTCAGTACCCCACCAGTTGCAAGAGCTTGTGGTTGATGGCCTCCTTGAAAAATTTTTCAAAGATTTTTCCCAAAGTCAGACTGACTAGCCTGTAGTTCCCTCTTCCCTTTCTTTAAAGATGGGTACCATGTTAGCCTTCTTCCAGTCATTAGGGACCACTCCTGAGTTCCACAACTCTTCAAACAGCCTCACCAGAGGCACCACTATGTGTTCAGACAGTTTTTTCAGCACTCTCAGATGTAGGTTGTCTGGCCCAGCCGACTTGAAAACTTCCAACTATTCTAAGAGTTTCTTCACCTGTTTGGGACTGATTTCATGTGGACTGCTGTCATCACCATATTCTCTGGGCCTCTGGACAGGTGACAAGTTCTCGCCTGGTTTCAGGAAGACTGATGTGAAGTAAGTATTAAGGATCTCTGACTTTTTGTGGGGATCAACTGTGGGCTTCCCCTCTGTATTCAGTAGGGGGTGCCACAGTGGAGCTTAATTTTTTCTTGCTTCCTGTGTACCTATAGAAGGACTTTTTATTATCTCTAATTTTGGTTGCCAGCTTGATTTCCATGCATGCCTTGGCTTTTCTTGTCTCATGTCTACAGACCCTGGCCATATGGATGTACTCTTCTCTGGATGCTCAACCATTTTTCCATTGCATTTACACTTCTTTTTTCTTCATGAGAAGCTCCCTAACATCCCTATTGAGCCAAGTGAGGCTCTTGGCCCTTTTCCCTCTTTTTGACTGCTTGGGGATGGTCTCTTTTTGAGCAGTGAGAATTGCCTCCTTAAGGAAGCACCACTGTTCCTGAACTTCCACATCATCCAGTTGCTGGTTGCATAGGGCCTTTCTGACTGGACTCTTGATTTTACCAAAGTCTACCCTTCTGAAGTGTAGGACTTCTGTTCTCGTGGTAGAATTCCGAGCCTTTCGGTGGATGGTGAATCTAATCAAATCTTGATCACCATCACCCAGAGTACCGCCAATCTTCAGGTTGCCTACCATGTCTTCCCCTTTGGTCAGCACCAAGTCCAGGGTGGCTTTACTCCTAGTTGGCCCCTCCACAGCCTGTGTCAAGAACAGGTCATCTGTAGTTGCCAAGAAGTTGGTTGACCTGCTGGAGCTGGCTGAATGGTCTTCCCAACAGATGTCAGGGTAGCTGAAGTCACCCATGACAATCAAGTCTTTAGTGCTGGATGCTTGTCAGTTCCCTGTAGAATACCTGGTTGCTCTCCTCTTCCTGGCAGGGAGGCCTACAGCTGACTCCCACCATCAGGTCCCCTTTTCCTGAACCCCCTTGTAGCTTGACCCAGAGGTTCTCAAAAGACTTCCCCCTGCAATCAAATGTAACCTGCAGAGAGGGGTACTGCTCTTTTGCAGAGAGGGCCACCCCTCCACCCTTCTTCCCAACCCAGTCCTTTATATAGAGACTGTAGCCCTCAATATCCACTGCCCAGTCATATGTATTGTCCCACCAAGTCTCCATCGAGGTCAAATTCCTCATCTGCTAGGAGTGCTAGTTCATCCTGTTTGTTGCCCATGCTCCTGGAGTTCCCATAAAGACAACAGAGCTCACCCCTAGTCATCTCAGCTTTTCTGACCCTCTACAAGTGTCTCTGGGTGTTGGTAGTCACCTGGATGTCCCCTATGTAAATACCCTCCTCTGGGTTATCTTGGTCAGAGAATTTATGCCCAGCAGTGGATTTATGCCCAGTAGTGGAATCTTTCCCCACTCCCCCCAGTTTGTCTAATTTAAAGCCCTCCTCAGCAAGACTACGATTCTCATGGAAAAGAGCTTCTTCCCTCTGCCCATGAGGTGGATACCATCCCTTGCATGTAGACCAGGACCATTGAACTGCATACCAAGGTCGAAAAATCCAAAGCCAGCACGGTGACACCATCTCTGAAGTCTTTGGTTGACTTCTTTGATGCATTCCTACCTCCAACAGCTTTGGCCTCTAACTGGGAGGATTGAGGAGAAGACCACTTGTGTGCCTAGTTCCTTGAGCTTCGCCCCATGGTTTTATAGTTGCTTATGACTCTCCCAGGCTTGTTTCTTGCTGTGTAATGCCAAGAGGTGTCTGTGTGTGTGTCTCCACTTTCACTAGGACAGGCAGACAAAACAGTGACAGCTTAGGGCTTTTGGGAGCTAATCAACAGGTCACCTGGTAAACTGTTTAAGAAGAGTTTGAACTAATGGAGAGAGGCTATTGTTTTGCTGATGAGGTGACGAACACTGTTATCAGCCCCCTGCTGATTTGCTTGCCTGTCAGTTTGCTGCAGAAAGTATAAAGAAGCAGAGAGGGAAATTGAAAAGCTCCATAACATTAACAGACGCATGCACTGCACCCTCTCTTGCCTCCGAGTGCTAGAAGGTGGCTGGGCACCTCTCCGGCCCCTTGAGCAACTAGCAGGGAAAAGCTTGGGATGGTGCAGACAGACCTCCCTAATCAAAGCACCCTGCCTGGGCCCAGCCATGCCCCCCTTCAGCTCAGCTCCCTGCAGAAGGGAAGGGAGGGCAGCTCTAGCACCCTCCTCTCACCCCTGATCCCCCCAGTTTCTAGCCTAAGCCACTGCAGGCATGTGCCTGAATTTCCTCAGTCCAGAGAGAATGTCTGTCTGATTACAAACTGGTTCAGCCTACCCAAATTAGACTAACCTGAAAAGAGTGCTTAGCCTCATTGTTTAAAGTCTTCCAGGGAACCTGACCAATAATAGGGATGGGACCCCTAGTGAAATTAAAATTCCTCATTTAAATGATATACGTGCACTACTTTTACCATTTGAATGGAATAAAATAACTTATTTTACAGATATTAATTTAAAATTATCTTCCCAACATGGAGCGTTCAAGTGTAATTGAGAACAAAAAGGCAGAACAGAAATCTCATTTTAACTCCAGCTACAGAAAATGTCTTGCTCAGTTCCAGTTATTTTACATATTCAATTTCACTCAAGCTATTTGAACTAATAAATACACCTAATCTATTTACTTAGTCTTATAGAATAGGAAAGCCAAGGTCCTTTTACAGGCAACTCAGCTGAAGAGTTTATGTATTTCTGAATACACAAAGGCATAGCTTTGCCTAGTCCTATTTTTCATCCGTAACTCATTGTTATACAACCATTATACTTTGGGCCGAGACCTGAAGGGACACTCAGGCAAAACTCCTACAGAGTTCTTGAGTTTAACACACTAGAAAGTATATGCAACTCACATGGTCTTTCACTTCAACTGAATTTTTTCCTAAGACTTGAAAGATTTGATCCCTAAAATTATTATACCAACACTATTTCTTTAACAAAAGTCCCAGGGAACGGGTTGCAAATCAAGATAAGCATGTGACTCCAAGCAATTCTAGGTTTCAGTATAGTTCAAAACCATATTCATTATCTATTAGCGTTTTTAGATTAGCAGTTTATAAATACTAATTGTTGAATTAGTGCCAGTTCTCAATTTATTTGACCAAATCATCTTGAATATTTTCCTCTCTTGAGAGACTGTAGAGTTACCAACACCAGTTTTAAACCTTTTAAACCAGGTTTGAAGCTTAAGAAATTACAGTTTTAATGTTTCACATAATCACTCTCTATTGCTATTATAACTCTAATGAATTAGACTACAGAAAGGCAGTACTTCTGTTAAGAGAATACAAAAGTACTGTTCCTACGCTTGTATCAGTTTGGTACAACTATGGCCCCATATTATCTGTGGTATAATAAACAGGGCTGTAAAGTCACTTTCCCTGAAAGGGTTTCTCTGATTAGCAAAGGAAACCAAATTACATTAATAGATTTTATAAAGTATGAAGAAAGGTCTGGTCATTGATCATCACAAAAAAAGAAGCTCCAAACTCATCAGATTCTCAGCCTCTCTCAAGACTTCTCTTTGAGCCTCTCCCAGGAGACAAGTATGGACACTTAACTGACCCTAAGGTACTTATATGCCCCCACCCAACCCCTCACAATCTCTTACACTCCTGAGAGGGAGAAAATTGATTTATTTTACAGAGGGGAAACAACGTGTAGGGTAACATTTTTTAAAGCACCCAGGGGCCCCAGTCACACTAGAAACCTGTTAGCAAAGCAACAAATTAAAAACCTGGTCTCCCAAATCTAGTACCCTCACCACTAAACAATCATTTTTGTCTATGCTAACTCCCTATGTTGCCTCCACTAATCCTAACAGCATTAAATCCTGCCAGGTATTCTGGGAAATATACAACAGCCTTAAGAGGCAGGCTGTTCTTACCCCAAGATGCCTTGCTCCCTGGGCTACAGAGATCTGAGCACGTAGATTTGAACCTTAGGTGCCAGTCCCATAGGCAAGAGATGTCAGTGCAGGTACTTTGGAGTTTGGGAGTTCACCCCCACCTCCCTACTTTGCCATGAAATGTCCATTTACTCAGGCTTGCAAAAGAAATGTACATTTTACACTATGCAAGTTAAGATTGAAATGCAAAACTGAAGTAAAATCGAGTTAAGATCAGATTTCTGAATCCTTTGCTAACAGGGCTGGGAGCATTAGGGAGATTTTAATTCATAGAATCATACAAAATTCCTTTTCTGAAATTACTTTATAAAAACTCTATGACATCATTCTCATGATTCCCCATTTGCTGAAGACACCAAAGTCCTGTATACAACTATGAACATACATGTACTAAGTATGTATCTGTGCTACCCGTTCTAATGCTTTTAGCTTAATTCCACCTTCACTTCCTAATTTGCAGTAGGGGCAAAAAGCACAAAAGTAAAATTAGAATATCAAACCGAATATTTTTCTCAAAGAAGTATCTAAAAAATTGGAACAATCTTTCTAATACAGACACAAAAATTCTGAGATAGAATCTCTGAATGAAAAAGGGGGGAAAAAAATCACACTCAAGTTAAATTGCTTTCATATATAGATGAGTTCATTACTACTATTCTACTCCTAACCT